ACTTTTTCAAAAAAATAAAAATTTGTAACAGTTTTCTGACAACGATCCGACTTTTTCAAAAAAATAAAAATTTGTAATAGCCACTGCACCTAGCTTATCAACAAATTATTCAATAAGTTGCAACTGCCCCAAATAGACTATAGTCATATTTTCTTGTGTTAGTCCATCATTAGCATCAAACGTCGCCTTCAACATTCACACATTACACAAGTCATGCCTCATGACTCCTTTTAGTTCCCGGGCACCTTTCAAAAAGAAGGTAGGAGGGATATAAATATAAATATAACTATAAAAATAAATAAATAAATGAAAGAAGAATAAGGAAATAGGAGATGTTCATATGAATAAATATAACAGGGAGTGGGTGAGGGGTTGGTGGAGTGTCTTTAGTATTCCATAGGGAAGCCTGAGAAGATATGGGGAGGCAGCCATGCTGTGACAAGCTTAAGGTGAAGAAGGGTCCATGGACGGCTGAGGAGGACAAGAAGCTTGTTGCCTTTATCCTTAGCAATGGCCATTGTTGTTGGAGGGCTGTGCCGAAGCTCGCCGGCCTCTTGCGCTGCGGGAAGAGCTGCCGTCTTCGGTGGACTAACTATCTCCGCCCCGACCTCAAGCGAGGCCTTCTCACCGACGCCGAAGAGAAGCTTGTCATAGACCTTCATGCTAGTCTTGGCAATAGGTATGTTGATCAAGGAGAATGATTTATAGTTAAATTGACTTGTAAAATTATATGCTTAAGATTCTCAATTCTCTAGTGATTACGAAGAGATTTATGTATTAGTTGAAATGATTATAATTAGATTATCATGAGGTTCTTTTAGATATAACTATGATAGTGTGGATGAAAGAAGTTGATTAAAAAATGTGCTACTGGATATTATAGATGAGTTCCTTATGCTGATATTTGACAGCTTCATATAGTCTTAATCATCATAATTAAGCTTTATACTGTCTAGAATATTCCTATTTGAATATAAGAAAAAGATATCTTGATATAATTTGTGTCAGAATATATATATATATATATATAGCTTAAAAAATAAAATTCCAAGGTAAAATATTTTAAAAAGAAACATAAATAAATATTAGGAACTAATTTTTATCCTCAATAAGAACTCTAATTCTATTTTAATTTTGATTATTTATCTTTATTGCTTCATGTATTTAACTTAGGAAGATCTACATGCATACCACTTAATTCCTACGTATTTGCATATCTAGCACCTACTATGGATGAAAAGGGAGTATTGGTTTAATTTCTCTTCTTATTCTTGCATAAAATATATCAAAATATGCTTATCCTGTCATCATTTTTACTTGTTCCGATGCCAGTTTACAAATTAAGTTTCATATGCATCAAAGCAATAAATAGTTACCAACTCTGATACCAAATGGAAATAAATGAAAAATGCAATAAAGACAAATGCTTAGATATGTATCCATCCCGGCATATTTATCTGCTAAACATACGCTCCAAATTCATTTAATAAAGTTTTCATGTCGCAATCATGATGAAATTGGTGTCATCTGGCATAGGTGGTCCAAAATTGCATCAAGACTTCCAGGAAGAACTGATAATGAAATAAAGAATCACTGGAACACTCATATAAAAAAAAAGCTTCTAAAGATGGGAATTGATCCGGTCACCCATAAGCTCCTTCATGATCAAACGAGCTCGACGGCAGCGGCGTCGCCGAATTCGACGGTGACAGATGATGATAAATTCAGCAAAAAACATGAATCTTTTGATCCGAAGGATGGCATCAACCAAGTTTCACAGGAAGAGAATGCTAACCCACAACAAAGCTTTTTGAATACTATGAACAGAGATGAACAAGTGATAGGTTGTTTGTGGGATGATGACATGCCCTTCATTGAAAAGCTATGGAGTTCTCCTATGAGTATTGAAGAATGGCTACTTGATTACCAAGACTTTGGCATTGGAGATTTGGAGCTGGAGAGGGTGGAAAGAGGTGGGCTTGCTGATGAACAAATTAAACTGAACTAGGCTAAAATAAGCTGAGGATTGGGTGGAGGGAGCCCAAGCTCTTTGCTTATGAAGTCTTGTTTTAATTGTAAAGTGTGTCTGCCTTTTTTGGGGTGGATAATCATGTTTTGAGCCCCTAGTTTTATATAGTCATTGTCATGAAGAATATATAAAGTTCCGTATGAATAAGTTGCATGAAGCACCTATCTTAAAAGAAGAGGTGGGATTCATGGGACAAGAACTGTAAAAAGATGCCAAGTGTTATTGTTGTTAAGTGAAAAATTGTATGTCAACAGTGTAAATAATAAGTACTACTTGTATAAATATATGTGTCACAGCTAGTGTTGTGTTTTAATGACTAATAGCTAATTGAAACTTGATTTGAAGAACTCGTTTGATTCTAATTTTTTAAGGTGAAGACATATTAGTATTACTAAAAGGGCCTATCTAACTAATTTGATGGGATGATACCTTGATGAGTGGTATTAGATGCAAGCCCTTCATTTTTTTCCTTCTAAGGTGGGGTAAAATACATGAGACAAAATAAATTTTGAAACTTATATCAATCAATTTTTTTTTTGTTAGAATTCTATAAAATCTTGTTCATGAGGCACAATTTTTATTTTGATGTTTAAGAATTTGTTTGCTTTTTTTTAAAATAAAGGGTGGGAAACTCTAATTAAAAATTATTTAATTTTTATATCAATATAAGCTTTGTTATGTTTTATATGATAGAGGGGAACATTTTCACATTGGCTTGTAGCTATAAAAATATTATTGGTGAGTATTTCCCTTTAGCAGAAAATTTTAGCCTCATGAATGTACAACTAAGAGTGCATTTCCCTCAATATGAGATTCTTGTTTTCATTATTCTAGCAAATGTATTGGAATCAATGGGTTAGATGAGATGGCATACTTCATGGGCCATGGAGGTTTCAGTCATGGTTGTATAAGCTTCATGAGTAGGTGAGTGTTAAGGAAGACAAATTGGCAAGAGAATTAACGAGCTAGATTTGACCAAACTTTAATTTGTTATTCTCATTTATCTTTAGCATATGATAGTGTGTGTGTGCTTAGTAGTTGTGATTAAGGACTTAGGGAGGATCAAAAAATTGCAAATTTTGACCGGAACCAAAATTGGACATGGCACCAGAACCAAAACTAGACACCAGGACCAAAATTGGACCTGGCACTGAAAAAATCGAGTGCTAAGGCTCCACTATGAGTAGAAGCAGCGCCTTGGTGCAGCTATTGCGATGCCTAGGCGCTGCTCCCACCTGCTCGACAAAATGCCCAAATCGGCCCTATTTTGGTCATTTTCACAAAACCTCCTCCTCGATTCTTCTTCAATGACTGAGAGATGATACTTAGGGCTTCACTTTTTCTTCCATTTATAATCAATCCTTAAAGCTTTGGTGAGTGGAAATCACTTCCATAAAGTAAAATCTGCTCCCTAAGCTTGTTCTTTTATTGTTCATCCGGGAATTTTTGGAGGAGACGGTGAAAGTTGCGGAATTTTATGGAGAATTTGATTAAGCTCGTAACTTGCATTTTGTATGCATTCACATCATTTATTAGATTTATTCCTTTGCATTTTTATCGTTGCTACTTTTCTATGGCTCCCAAATGAAAGGTGGAAAATCCAAATCAACTTCATTCATTTTGTACACATCCACATCAGTTCTTAGCTTTATTCCTTTGCATATTCAACGTTGCTACTTTTCTATGGCTTACAAAATGAAAGGTGGAAAATCCAAATCAACTTCATACAACAAAAAGAAGTTTGTAAGCTCCAAAGCTCAGGAGCGTTACAACGATTCCTTAGTGTCTAAGAAGTTGATTGCAGCGAGGGGATTCATTAGCCCGGGGGTCAGATGGAAAGTATGATTATTAGGATAGACTGGGAGAATTTTTGCTATACTACCACTGTAGAGGTGATTTCTGTACTTAGAGAATTTTGTGCCAACCTTCCTGAGGCTTCTGATGATTCATTATTTGTGAGGGAGAAACAGGTAGATATCTCCCCTTTACGCATTAATGTGTTATTCTCGTTGGGAGATGTCCTCGGGAGTTTTTACTGCAGCTTCACCCTAGCTAATTCTAAATTAGATGAGATGATTTGATTTCTGACCAATGGAGAAGGGGTTTGGAAGGTGAGGAATGATCATAAGGTGAATGCATTAGTCTTCTTTGTCTAAATTGAATGCACCTTCTAAAGCTTGGCATTACTTCATTTTGGCCATTCTTCTATGCTCCACCAATTTGAGTGAGGTTATAAGAGAGAGAGAGAGCTGCTCTCAACTATTGCATCCAGACTATGAAATTGATTGATATGGGAGTTCTGATCTATCACTCTATTATCAATGCTACAAAGGGAGGGTCCACTTTAGGGTTGGACATCCTTCCACTATTTCTGTCATTTGTCAGTAGTCTGGTGTTACTTTTGAGGGATGGGAGGAGTGTTGCATCCATTGAAAGCCATTGCCAAGGCTAATGTTAATTTATGTACTAAGCATGTTATTTTGATGTGTAGAGCGAGTTCTTCTCAGCCTTCCACATCTTATTCTCAACCTCAACCTTCCACTAGCATAGCTTTCTTGTCAGAGAAATTGAAGATGATCGAGGATGACATCTCCATTATTCAAACAGAAGTTCATGATATTACTAACCATTTGACACATATGGATTGATAGAATAAATGTCAATATGATCATGATGCCAGTTTTCAGGTTGTTCAAGTGGAAATGTATAGAAGGAATCAGTAGGTCGATGGGGACAACTCAGTGGAGTTCTCAGTTTATCCTCCTTATTAGATATATGAACACAGTCGGTTGATGTACAAGAATGAGGAGGGAAAAGAAGAAGAAGAAGAAGATGATGATGAGGATGGGGAGGATTTATTTTCATTTTCTTTATGTGGATGTACTAGACTATATTTATATTTGCTACTGCAGTTATTACACTCTCTTCATTAGTTTATAATTATTGATGTGGGCTACTTTTTATATATTTGTTGTAATATGTAAACCTTTTATGATATAGTTTCAGTTTAATCTTGCTTATATGTGATTTACTTGCTACTGCATATATATTTGCCCTGCTTATACCAGTTAATTTTGTTGATAACACGTGGTAGATGGTATTTTTGTGTTATTTTCTCCTTGCTTATATTCATGTTTTAAATTGTTTAATATGTTGAAAATTAAGTTTAGGGGGGAGGGGGGGGGGGGGTTGGGGAAAAAACTTT